CTATGCAACAGATGCGAACTGTGTTGTACATTTCATGGGAAGCTGTGGTGAACTTCAAGGTACGATTCTAGCTGAACGGAAATTTCTTGGTCTTAAAAATCGCGTAATTAGAAACTTTTTAAAACTTTTTCAAGTTTAAAATATAGAGAAGACACAATTCTTTATCAAACGGCTGGAAGAAGGCATATTTTTGTCTGTGATTTTTGTAAAATATATTCGCATTTGCAAGTCCACCGAAAATCAATGGGTAAAATGCATGCTACATAAGAACTCTTTTTTTTCCAAGCACGCTTTCTACAGGAGATTGAAACGCAGTGTATTCAAAATCTGATATCCTGTCGAGTCCGGAATATTATAAGATTATGCTGCAAGATAATCTGTATCGCAACCGCGCCTAAATAATCCTTCCTAATTGAAAACGCATTTCAGAATTTCAGTCAATATTTCATGAGATTGGCCACTCATTGTATGTGTTCACACCCGCCACGTCGCGTTTCAGCGATGAAACAGTGACAGCCAATCGCCAGACCGCTTCCCCCTCCCCCACCTCCTCCCTAAGCGCCAGACCGAACTAGAATCCGACCCCAGACCTCTGAACGCCCCTCAGCCCTCTTCCCTTATTGACTTTTATTGGATGTGTAACTTTTGCTATTCTGCCCTCCCTTATAGTGCTGTACAGGCCTGATGCTGAATAATCGAAAGCGTTCGTTTGCCGGACTTGACTTCTTAGATGTCTACATGGGTAGCATCGCTGAGCTTTAAATACTTGAAGTCCGCAAGTTACACATAGCGTCACTCTCTCTCTCTCTCTCTCTCTCTCTACACTCCACCAAGCAGGGCATGAGATTTATTTGGTAATACACTCCTGGACATCAAAAAACCTCACACTCCTCTTGTGTTACAATCACGTGATATGTTTTGTTAACGTTGCGATGGCTGGCAAATAATCATATGCAAAGTGCGCATTCTTGAAGTCCAACTGGTGTGCCTGAGAGGGCCAGCTCGTGCACAGCAACCGCAGATGAAGGCTTTCATAGCAGTCAACAACTGCGAGCATGTGCCTCTCCAGTTTTCTTGATATTATCTTGTTATTGAAGCATGGCCGGTGTGGGAGTAGAATGAGCTAGGTACTTCACACTAAACCATTCATGCGCAAGACAACCGCATAGCAAGCGCTGGGGACCCGGTGGGAAGCCGAATTCCTCGGTGTTGCGTTATGCGACAGCGAAATCACCGACGAAGCACTGTCCGGGCTTTTGACTGGTACCTATGTTGGGATTACGGTATAAGCATTTGCATTACTGGTGCTGCTATTTGCTTGTAACCGGACATTACGCGAGTATTCCGCCGACGTTAACTGTCTTCGACCCAAATTTGCATTGGCATTTCCCGTCTGGTCCAAATAAGTCAAGCCTAGGGCATTTAAATCCATGTCGCTCTCTTAATAACGTACGGAATTACCAACTACCTATTGGAAACTGACTGTATTCGCAATCAACTGCAATTTCAAGCAATTTTTGATTGAAACCCATGTTGGCATTCAGGGATTATATCAACGAGCTTGAACTACATGCTCTTTGATTTTCATTAGCAGATCCTGACACGCCAATCCATTATACTTCAGTCGAAAAAGAACATTTCAATTTAACTATTAAACAATCATGAACATCCCGTCGTGGGGAACGTCCTTAAAAAAGGATTCTTAATAAGTTCAGCGTGACAGTACTTTCGGAGGTAGAAGCATTTAACGTCACAAAAATACGGATGGAACAAGCTCTTTCTTTCTCCACTGCACTCAGCTTTAAGCATTTCTGGCGCCCATTATGATAAGCAAAATGATTTCAAAAATTAGATGTTTGCTCTATTAATTACATAAATCATATTCAAAATCTGCCAAACACCTTTTAATTGCGTGAGCATAGTGATCAGCTGGTGGATTCTAGATGGATTGCTGAGGAAATCCTGTCCGGGCGGTCTGTTTACTGTATCAGATTGGGAGGATTTCAGACGTTGCAGTAGGCTCGGTGGGTAACTTGACACAAATAGGATTAAAATCACGGCTTCCAGTGGAACCTCATAGCTCCACTGGCTAAAGTGTTGGCCGTACTCCAGCCTTCCCTTGATGATGTAGGTTCGAATATCGCCGACGTAGTCGAGTTTTGTACAATCGGATCAAAATAAATTAGTCATTGTGGCCGAAATTTATGCTGGGAAGAACTTTAGAAATAGCAATGTATCTATGGCACTAAAACAGTTTACGAGTAGTCCTCTTGGTACAGTGCTTTCTAAAGCCGGTCAAGCTGAGAACAGTTCTCTTTGTTACACACCTGAAATGCAAAGCTTGAACCAATAACAAGGATTACCACTGTGTGGTCGGTGCGTTGGTCACTTTCAATGTATCTCCCGCACCTACAATTCCAATGCTCACTGTTTCTTTATTGCGGGACCGGAGTCGAAGCGACTGGAGGCAAATACGTTCAAGTAAATTGACATTTATTTAATGCGGCTGAAATAAAGTTCGATTAATCAGAGCTTCTTTACCAGGTTGCGTTTTTCCTGGAACGTTCCCACTGTATTTTGGCTACACGAGGTGAAGGTGTGAAAACTCGCTGAAAGATCGTACATGTATAATTTAAAAATTACGATTAACTGGCTTTCACCTCGAAAAGTGCAAACAATGGATTCAAGGAAAATTACAGAATACGTTGGCTATTCACAAATTGTTTTGCGATTTTGACTGTGAGGATGTAATCGAACAGCAGTGAACGGCTTGCCGCTCGTGTACAGCACAAAGTTTCATTTGTACGAATTACCCTGCTATTTGGTAATGCGTTAACGCGTAGACATGAGGTTATTTGAGCGCTCCGAAAACCTTACTGTCGAGAGGTCAAGTAAACAACCGGCTCGTGGATTTCTTACCGGTCATAAAGCACTTTGCATACCAACCCTTAATGTTCCACAAAGAACGCACTAAATAGAGGTCAGTCACGCGGTCAGTCCCGCAATGGGTGTAGACACTAAGACGACATCTGCAGACTGCATCCTCCCTCAGGGCCTTCTGTAAGCGACTCGAAACTAAGCATTGGCACTATTGAAGAGTAACAGCGGCATTTAGTCCAATCGCCTTAGCTTCGTAACTTGAGATAAAATCTAATAAACGAGTGCAAAACATTTGATTTTTAAGATTAGTTTATTAAACAACGGGTTTTATTGACGTTCGGTAGTGGTTTTAAAGTGGACTTCTCTGGCAAGAACATTTCACCTTCAATCTGATATCTTACAATCTGTTATAGTATTCTGCTGAAAGTAAAACCTGTCAGACGTGCTTTCAGGCTAGGCTATGGCTAAAACCACAGTGACGATATAGGCCGAGATGGTCGTTTTCACATGACCATATGAACTTCAACTTGATGAAAATCCCGGAATTGTTTTCTTGAAATAAACAGTATATTATTTTTTTTCTAGTGTTCTAACCATTGCCTGATATGCATCTAAAAATATATTGAACTTATAAATAACACCCAACCCGATAAATCCTATACATTAGGTTACTTTTCGAGTACAGTTCCCGTATGATATCCTCGAACTAAGCGGCGACTTCAAAGAATGTCACATGCTTTCATAAGTCGTTCTATCAGAAAAACGGTTTGCTGAGCATTCAGTGGATGCGCTTGTATTCGCACTTTCTTTGAGAAACAACAGCAGCTTAAAAACATAATCCTTTTAAAATTAGCAGGACGCCATGGGGAATTTTCTTTGCTCCGTTAAGCTCCAATTCATTTTTCGTTAACGCAAACACCTGGGAGTTCAAAGCATTTCACTCCTTACCCGAAAACAAAAGAATTCGCATTAGTGTAGTCGAAGGACAAAGATGAAAGCCTGACTGCTCTAAAACTAAAACAGACGTTGCTATATTTTCACCTAAACTTAAAAATTCACCTAAATAAGAATACGGTAATTTGCAACGAATTCGAAAGCCCCACTTTCCAATGCAGAGTAAGTGTTAACTCCGTCCTGTAAATTTGTCATAAATCTATACAGTCAGCTTTCCTCTTCCTATCAAGGGTCAACACTCGAAAGAGGTCCAGTATTCGAGGAGAACATCTTTCTGGAAAAGACTTACTTGCAGAGTTTTGGTTAAATTTATTTACTTGTTTTAGAGCTGCTTTGCAAAACGTTCGATGTGAACCTTAGCCTGGGTGAGTCAGCACTACAATATGCAATCACGTGTTACCTTTTATTCCGAAGTGCCAGCTGTGTGCTCCTTCGTCTGTTTGTTTGACTTTTTCTTCTTCATCCCCCGGTTTTTAATGCTGTGTTAGTTCTTAATTCCAGAAAGATTTTTCTACCCCTTGAAATGTTTCCTCCGCCTATTTGACTTGATCAACTTTATTTCTCTACCAATCGACGGAAGTTTGTGCTTGAAAACTTAGTCTATAACTACGTCCGATGCCCTTACTGTTTGCTGGCAGAAATTGGCATGCCCGCTGTTGCGCCTGCAGGCAAAATCTCAGCTTTCAGCACCAATGTCTTGGCATATAACTGCAAAACGGTTTTCGTTCCGGCGATCTTCTCAACTAGAAAATCAAGCAAAGTCATCGTTGCCTTGGTCAAAGGCACCCCGACGTTTGGTGGCATTTAAGCCGATAAAACTTCAAAAAACTGCTTTTTCAACTTCGTTGTGCACATCCAGCTTCAATTATTTATATGTCTGCGCATGCATATTATGCTTTTACAGGTTATTATTATTCATTGAACCCATATTTCGACATTTTCAGCCATTCCGTTTTTCTCCAAAAAATTTCAGTACTTCCTGTGTTTTCATCTTACCCAAGACCATTGCTTTTAGACCGACTACTTAACATTCATGATCTTCGGCTATTTCCGAGTTCTTGAGGATTCTGGGTGGATAGCCCCTCCTGTTCTTGAAGAAGGAGACACGATCGAAGGGACAAGAGCTTTATTAGCCTGACGTTTCGGATTCCTACTCGAATCCATCATCAGAGACAAAAAAGCAGAAACGGGTGGTTGTTGCACAAGGGGCTGCGGTATTTATTCGAGTCGATAATTGCTGCAATTTCATCACGTGCGTTGGATGTTGGCGTGATGATTGCTCGACCATCTGATTCGTTGACCCGGGTGTTGGGAAGAGTGTTCACCAGTGCGCTCCCCGCGTGGCCAATTACTCCGCCTAGACGAAGTCTCAGCACGCTGTATTGAATGGGAAGATCGTTGCACTTGTTGATGGACTGGGGGCCAGTAAACCATGATTCCAATAGCTCCCGGCTCACGCGGTTGTCACCTCTTGCGAGAATTTCGGCCTCATCGAATTTGAATGTGTGGCCGGATCTCGTCGGATGAACCGCAACTTGAGAGCTGGCGTCATTTCTGCGCACCGCTGTCGCGTGTTCGGCCATTCTCGTTCGGAGCTGTCTTCCGGTTTCTCCGACGTAGTTGCTTTGTCCGCAACTGCACCATATCCGATAAACGACTCCAGACGTTTCTAGCCGTGGCAGTGGGTCTTTCGGTTTCATGACCAGACGCCTGATGGCTGCCTCCGGTCTGTGTGCCACTCCAACCCCTAGTGGTGCGAGAAGGCGGCCGACAGCTTCCAAGACGTTCTTGACATACGGAAGTGCCCGCCAAGATTTGGCGTCCGTGCGGTTAGGCCTTTCGTCCCTTTTGCGTATGCACCGGTCAACGAAGTTGCGCGGGTAGCCATTGACTTTGAAGACCCGTCGGAGGTATTGTAGTTCGGCAATTTTGTCATCCGGCTCACTGCAGTGCGTTTCGACACACCGATAGAGCGTCCTTACACAACTGCGTTTGTGGCTGATTGGGTGGTTACTGTTGAAGTCCAGTACTTGCATCGTATTTGTCGCTTCCCTGAACACTTTGGTTTTTAGTTTACCACAGTCTTTGCGGCATACGAGGACATCCAGGAAGGCCAGCTGGTTGTTCTCTTCCTCCTCCATCGTAAATTGAATGTCCGAGCAGATGGCGTTGAGATGTTCTTGGAATGTCAACACCTGATCCCGTTCGATGACGACGAAGTTATCATCCACATACCGGGCCCAGAATTTCGGTCTGTGGTGTTGGAAGACCAGCGACTCTAACCGTTGCAGGACCGCCTCGTCGATGAACCCCGAAATCGACGAACCCATTGGTTTGCCCTTCACCTGTTCGTAGATTGTCCCGTCGAACATGAAGTACGTCCTGAGACAGAGCTTCAGGATCTGAAGGATTTGGGCGTGTCCAAGACGGTTCTCCGTTTCATCGTATTTGCTTTGTAGTAGCAGCTCAATTGTCTCGATCGCCAGGTCCTGGGGAATAGAAGTAAAAAGGGATGCAACATCAAAAGATACCATGACCTCATTTGGATGGATGCTTACCCCTTTGAGTTTCTCCAGGAATTGTGCTGACGAAGAGACCGTGGTGTCTGACTCAGCGGTCAGGAACTTGAGACGCCGGAACAGCCACTTAGCCAGTCCGTACGTTGGAGTCCCTTTGAGCGACACGATGGGTCGGAGATGAGCGCCGTCTTTGTGCACCTTAGCGAGGCCATAGAATCGGGTCAAAGCCGTATCTTGGGGTCTCGCCATGCGTCTGTCGGTCGGTGTTATTGCACCTGAGTTCTCCAAGGCCAACAACGTAGCATTAATTTCGTGTGTCAGCGCCTTTAAAGGGTTCGTTGCACATGGGACATAGAACTGTCGGTCCTCCAGTAAACCTTTGGCTTTTTGAAGGTAGTCCGTCCTGTCCAGTACAACTGTGGCGCGTCCTTTGTCCGCTGGCACGATGACCAGGTGTTTGTCGGCCTTGAGTTCTCTAAGTGCATCACGTTCGACCTTGGAAAGCACTTCCCGCGGCCTGTGGGCTATCAGGAGAGACGACACTTGTTGTCGGATGAGACTCTTAGTCTCCTCCGTTGCCTCCGTCTGACTAAGGATTGATTCCACTACTGCAATCATGTTAACAGGTTTGGCGTCAGCCGTGTCAAATGAAGCTTCGTGCCGTAAAACCTGCATCTGATCCTTCGTCAGCTCCTTTGGTGACAGGTTGTGCACCCGTTTGTCGTTTCTGGGCGACGTTGGATTGGGCAGCTTTCGAAATTTGTTCTCCAGTGCTGCGTCGCGTATCATGCTCTGTTCGTGGGCTTGTTCAGCTGTCCTCCGCAGGAGCAGATTCGTACCGACCTCACCCATGAACTCACAGCATCTGGTCTTTTCTTGGTCAATCCTTTGACGGTACTTACGAAGTCTCGCGTGGCAATCTTGGAGGAGCACTCGGATCATCCTTCTGCCGTGCTGAAATACTGCTCGTCTCGCCAAATCCGTGTTAACTGTTGGCATGTATGAAACACATTTCGGTAACACATTATTGTCGAGACACCTGTGCAGAAACCGGATCTGCGAATACGTAGAGGCCTCCCGAAGGGCGAAGATTTCCCATCGCCGGGCCGATCGGAGCGCATCGCGCCCAAATACATTGCCAATAGAAGCGAAGAGACGAGTCTCAGGAAGACGTCTTGAAGAAGGAGACACGATCGCCGGCTAATAAAGCTTTTGTCCCGACGATCGTGTCTCCTTCTTCAAAACTTCTTCCTGGGACTCGTCTCTTTGCGACGATCCCGGATGAAGGGGGGGAGCCGTGAATGTTCATAGGCATGGCTACTGCATCCTATAAATACCGCAGCCCCTTGTGCAACAACCACCCTTTTCTGCTTTTTTGTCTCTGATGATGGATTCGAGTAGGAATCCGAAACGTCAGGCTAATAAAGCTCTTGTCCCGGCGATCGTGTCTTTTTCTTCAAGACTTCTTCCTGGGACTCGTCTATTCGCCCCTCCTGTTCTATCAACTCTATTTAGCACCTTGTAGGCAGTATAAATGCATGAGAGGAGCTCTGAACACATGGGCTGCCAAAGCTGATCTTAACTGACGTTGTGGCAAGACCCAGTCAACGACGATGATGGCATTAAAAACCACCGTAAATCAGCACGTTTGGTCGTACGTAGAGCAGATTGCTGATTTCGTTACTAAGCACATTCAAAAGAATAAGTCCGGTTATTTTTGATCAACATGTACAGAATTGTCTTTGAACTCAACCTTTATAGAGTGAATGCCGTTTAGATTTAAATTTTCTCCAAACTCTTGTCGATATGTCATTATTCTACAGTTGGTAATTGCAGCAAATACAAGGTCTCTTGGACCTCTTGCTGGTCTTTTGCTCGGTAACTTTGACACCTCAAAATTCGAAGTGTAAATCGCGATGAAACTTGTTAAATTTCAGCGAAAAGTCAAAAGAAAAGATGGCTGCCTTAGTTTAGTTAATCGGACACGGGAATATGGATCCGCCAGGCATTACCCGTGACCTCGTGCTAAATTCTAAGATGGCGGGAGGATTCCCGTTCCCATTTCCCAACCCTGGCCCTAACGCTTGCCCTTATCTTATCCCCAATCCTCCAAATCTAACCCCAACACTAATCCTCATAAGCCTAACTCTGACCATAACTCATATCTCCACCCTCCTGATCCCCTTCATAAAATTAACAGTTACCCTAACCCTAAACTCCCTGAAAGCTAGGGCCATGTCATCTGTAATATGAATGCCCATATTCACGTGCCCAGTTGTTTAGTTTGTTTTTGATTTGTTTATCTCATCGCTTTGTCAGTGAATTAAGCGCATTTCTCAAAGTTATATCACTCGTTGAAGATGAAGCATGATATTGCAATTAGACACTATCAGCAACTTTACATATTAATACTACTGTATGCTTAACCAGTGCAGTGGCTAAGATAACGCTCGGAACCATATCACCACTTCTACAATTGTCTCCTGCAAACTTAATTAGAACTACTTGACTACAGCTTTTGTGAAATAAAAAGTTGGCAATTCTTCCCCACCCGTTTTATGGGCGAAACGATTCTTGCCTTCTCTTATTTGCATGTGTGACTGTGAACTCCCCTTCAGCTGATAGCTTTAGACTCCTAAGAGCCACTTTAACTAACAGGGCCTTCGATATGTGAACTAGATGTGATGTTTGTTTTCATTTTTGGAAATAATCTGTCGAGGGCTGTCTCGTTTTTGTTTGTCTTCTGGTGTTCTGTCATACAGGATAAACATTCCCCGGAGAACAGAATCCGATTGGGCTTATGTGCCTAGGGGGGGCATGTAACTGCAGTAGTCCCGAAATGAGGACATATCAAAACAAGCTTCCGTGACTCCATACGCAGATGACTACCACTGCCAAACTGCGACATATTAGACTGCAGATATTAAACTCCCGCGATCGAACTGGTTAATTACCGTAGGGTCATGTATTCACACGTTGGCATCGCAGATGATGGTTCCCAGACACGGTCTCAGTGGATCTGTTTGGCGATTCTGGACTTGGTTTTCGCATCTCACAATCTGTCGGACTTCCGGCACGATAATAAAAATGAGGCAATATTTTTGTTCCAGGCGATAAGTTCTCGAGAACAATAGTGGTCCTTCCTTCAAACTGCTCTCATGCGTTCACATAACGACGTCTTCAATTTCCCCTCAGGTTGACCTGCATAGGTACAGGTACGGTCAGCATGGCAAATGCAAAAGACGATATTCGACTGCCAACTTGAACTTAATCGGTCCCCGATGCGCATGAGTTGGCTGGTAATCGCGGCCAACGGTCCATGCGACATGCCGACATTTGAGTCTTGAAGTATAATTTCTTTGCCTCTGCAAACACCCCCAGTCTAAGAGAATGTATGCTACATCTGGGATCCTGTTTCATTACAACCGTACATTAACTGCCGCCTGTAAGACTGCAACCATCTGATGCTCCAAACGCAGGATCAGCCGTTCACAACGTAATTCTTACCTGCATAGCGAGCCTTGTTATTTTTGATTACGACATGATGCAATCTGTGTCAATTTTTGTGCATGGTCCTGGCCCGTCTCTTATGGTGTGCTAAGTGCGAAGTTCTGTAAAACTGAGAGCCTGTGTCGAGCCATTGGCCTATTAGCATCTGGTTGTTGGTATTTAGACATCCAGTTTTCTGCTAACGAAAACGTCTCTGCTTTGATTATTCCTTGCGTCAACAGTTCTGCAGGTATGACGGTCTAGATGGGCAGGACTGGTGACTGAATCACGTAAACTAGAGGAGAAAGTAAGATCGGAAGGCTCGCGATCTCTCACGACTATTCAAGGTAAGCAGTAAAATACAATTTTCGGTTCGGTCGTCACGTCTGTCATCGGATATCCCTCCAACAAAGGCCAGAAGTTGGAGTGGTTGGTGTGTGCGAGGCGATTGGGTCATCAATATACAGATGTCAGTCTACTAACATTTGCAGACTGAACAGTACGTAGTCATTTTAAAGATCGCAACGCATCTAGAGAGTTGTTGATGATTATGGAGGTAGGTACAACTAAACACAATTTTAGCTGGCTGATTCTCTGAAAATTGGCCTAAGAATGGGGTCGGAAGCTTGGGTTAGTAGGCTACTGTCGTCATCGACTAATTTTTCAAATTTAACATGTGAATGATAGGTCTGCGACTCAAAAGCGCGCATGCCCTATTTAATCTGTAACAGAGGCTTAGGCAGGCAAGAGGTCTCAAGGGCGTCTACCTTTGAGAATAATAAAAATGCACACGACACCATCAGATAGATATGCCGACGCTATGCTCAACTTACTGCAGTCTCCAGTCTTAAGTCATTAGCCCGTCCAGAAATGTCAACTCCATAACTCCCAGCCCAGAAAAAAGCACTCCTAATGTCAGTATGACATTATCCAATGAAATTATCTTTCTTGAAAGTAACTACCTTAACGCCCACAGGGAAAAAGAAAATTCCAATAAATGCCTGGTCAGATATCGTTTTAAATAATATCTTGGAATCTGCGTCACGAATTCCGTTGGGGGGACGTGACATACCACCTAGATGTTCTTCGTGGATGCACCAATTCTGTTTTGTAGGATGCAAATGTTTAATCTGCAGGGTTCATCGACCAGGCAAGGATGAGTCATTGCGTGGACTGAGGTTCCCGCCGAGGTCATTTAAAATCGTTTGTGGAAGTAAATCTCGGACAACTTTACACTAAAAAGACAATGGCCTTGGCCAGTTCGCACAAAAAAGCTTTTCAGTCCGACTGCCAATCGGGGGAAAGACTTAAAATCAGGAAAATGGGTGTAGAATTGTATTACGTGGAAGACTGAGAGGAGAACGAAGAAGAAATCAGAAACGGTCAAGTAAACCAGCTCATGGAGTCGTTCGGGTAGGCAAAACCCGTGACAATGAAAGCTGGGACTATCAGACGAGATGAGCATTGAAGGTAAGCTCCGCAAATACTCAAAATCCGCTGGGCAAATTTGGTGAAACTGAAAATCCAACTGGCAAAAACTGGCCGGGAAATATGCTTTTCTGTGGATAATGCGAAATCCAAAATATCAGACAGGTAATATCAGCTCTTTAGGAAGGAGGAACCAAGGCAGAGGGAGGAATCACTGTTTATTTCTTCTGAAGCCTAGCTGTATTCGCAAAGTAAATACTTCGACACGGGAGGGGCAACTGCCAGTTACTACTATTCTCACCAGACACGCCGAAACTCTTTATTTATTGGTCGCATACTGTTCGCCTAATTGGACATCAAACACCGATATCCTTCTGGCTGAACTGTTCAAAGTAAGTGAAATGAAAGATGTCCCTATTTCTGGATATTTTAATATCCCTGGTACTAACAGGTGTCATGTTCATTGTCTAACTTTGACCACAGATTAGTACAAAGGACACGGGCAAACTTCTCCATCAGAGTATTACCTTAGAAACACGGGCTAGGAAAGGGAAACAGTCAGACTCTCTTGGCCTTATTTGTTTTGAGAGAAGGAAAGTGGGCTTCAGCTTTAAAACCAACTGACAAAATTCATGCGATCACAACGCACTGCGCATCGAGCAATTACTACTTTCAAAAGTCCTCTGACTTGACAGCTGGAAATGAAATAGTTGGAAAGCAGATTACGCATTACAGGGAGGATGGAAATGAAAACTACCATGGGTAACTGCGCAGCACAGTAAGCTACGGCAACCCTGCTTGACTTTCCTTCCATTGCAACGAGTGACTGTCGATCCCTACTGTCCTCTCAGAAAAACCGACAAGAAACAAATGTCGGAATTGGATGAAATTTGGCGCTGTAAGTCTTTCTTTCTAAAAATAGATCGCTTTTGGAA